AATCTCCTCCCATGTCCATGAATCCTTTGGAGCTGGGTCCTGTTGCCGCTTGACACGCTGCTTGGTCCTCTTATGGTGGGTTTTTCTGTCACGGCCGTCTATGTCGTCCAAGTATGACCAAGGCGCAGCGTGTCCAAGAAACATGACTTTATTAAACAAACGTTAAAGAACTACGAAACAAAAGACGACTCAATGAAGTCCACGGTACACTGACCGAAAAGGAACAAAAACCCACAACACCCAAAGGAAAACATACAGATAAATATGGCTCCCAATCAGAGATAACGAGCCGACAGCTGACACTCGTTACCTCCGATTGGGAGTCATTGACCAAACCTAGAAATAAACCCCACAGAAATGCAAACATAGAAATACACCCAAATACCCAACATAACCAAACCAAACCCAACAAAACAAAATACACCCTGGCTCAAATACAAACGTCCCGGAGCCAGAGTGTCACAGGCAGTGGCCATGCTGACAACATTCCCCAACCCACAACCCAACCCCTCCCCGTTTTTTCAACTGGTCGTTCAGTACAGCACCGTTTCCTTTCAATTGAACATTCCAGAAGGTAAACATTTACTGAACGCAGCCCAGGTTTCCCATGCAGGTCTGTATCAGTCCCAGAATAGAGGGGAAGATTGAAAACCAGCAGTGTTGTGGACCTCAACGCCTGTATCTGAGACTGTGTCAATAGCTTTAGGCCAGATCATTTTGGCATTCATAATATTTCCTTTGAAAAGGTTTAATGTCAATCAATATAAGCATACCTGAGTGTCCTGCATTGATGCTTCTTCTGTTTTATGCTCTGTATCAAGCTATCATCAAAAGTATATAGGCCATGGCTATTACAATACGGTATAGCCAATATTATCAAATTGAAATTAATATGGCTATTGTTGCATTCAGGGGGGGAGCATAGCTTTCACCCCCATGGGTGCGAGGCATAGTCAGGGCCCCCCCTCCTGTGCATAAAATCTTACTCAGTATGGGCAATCGCTAACTGATTTCCCAAGTCGAACATGTACAGAGTATATTGCTTTTTAATATAATTTACTAATGATTTAGGCAAGTTGTATCTACCATGATAAACACAAGCTTGTATTAGGCTACAGGAATTTGTCCCTGCAGTTACAAGGCAAGTTACAAGGCCTCAGATTTATACCTACGTTCTATTTTAGCCAGATCTCTGCTTTTTAGCTAGCTAGTTGGCGAGATCTGACGCTAATGACCGGACGGTTACATTATGTGAATCCATGGCAATGGATGAATGCGCCAATGGTATGGGTGGTAATATCTTAAACAAATGCATGTGTAAATCACTTATCAATGTCAAAGTACTTATTTTCTAAACTAAATATAGCAATCAACAACAACAAATTTAAAATATAATTTTATTCAGCTTGTGACAATTATATTCAATGATATGACAAACTCACTACCCATATGCATGCTGGCACATATTGGGCACCTGGGTCCAATACATATTCCTTAAAATGTACTACATTGATGATGAGAAAGCCACATATCAGTCTCTAAGTCCCCTGACATGCAGTGACAACGTTGACAAAATTGTTGACCTCGCTATCTCTGCTCTGTCTTCTTTTGCCCCTCTTTCATTCCACAATGTCCCACCACCCATCAATATCCTGCCCACTATCCCGTCTCAGCCTCCAGTATCTATGCTGCAATAGTCTATGTGCCAGGGGGCTAGGGTCAGTCTGTTATATCTGGTGTTATTCTCCTGTCTTATCCGGTGTCCTGTGTGAATTTAAGTATGCTCCCTCTAATTCTCTCTCTCTCCCTCTCTCCCTCCCCTCCCGGAGGACCTGAGCCCTAGGACCATGCCTCAGGACTACCTGGCCTGATGACTCCTTGCTGTCCCCAGTCCACCTGGTCGTGCTGCTGCTCCAGTTTCCACTCTTCTGCCTGCGGTTATGGAACCCTGACCTGTTCACCGCACGTGCTACCTTGTCCCAGACCTGCTGTTTTCAACTCTCTCTCTCTACCGCACTTGCTATTTCAACCTCTAAATGCCCAGCTATGAAAAGCCAAGTGACATTTACTCCTGGTGTACTGACCTGTTGCAACCTCTACAACCACTGTGATTATTATTTGACCCTGCTGGTCATCTATGAATGTTTGAACATCTTGGAGAAAAATCTGGCCTTAATGGCCATGTACTGTTATAATCTCCACCCGGCACAGCCAGAAGGGGACTGGCCACCCCTCAGAGCCTGGTTCCTCTCTAGGTTTTTTCCAAGGTTTCTGCCTTTCTAGGGAGTTTTTCCTAGCCACCGTGCTTCTACATCTGCGTTGCTTGCTGTTTGGGGTTTTAGGCTGGGTTTCTGTATAGCACTTTGTGACATCTGCTGATGTAAAAAGGGCTTTATAAATAAATGTGATTGATTGATAGCCCTGCCAGGCATGTGGGCATTTCTAAGCTAGTGGGCTCTCTCAGAGCACAGCCCTGATTTTCTCTGTTCAATTGACTCATTTAGACAAATGTACCTAGGTGGTCTTTGTGGTTAACTCTGTGGCTTGGTGTGCAATTCACATTGATGCTATATTTTCTCTGATTGCAAGAAACAGTGATATACACTATATATACAAAAGTATATGGACACCCCTTCAAATGAGTGGATTCTGCTATTTCAGCCACACCTGTTGCTGACAGGTGTATAAACTCAAGCACACAGCCATGTAATCTCCATAGACAAACAATGGCAGTAGTCGAATAGCCTTACTGAAGAGCTCAGTGACTTTCAATGTGGCACCATCATAGGATGCCACCTTTCCAACAAGTCAGTTCGTCAAATTCGGACAACTATAAGTGCTGTTATTTTGAAGTGGAAATGTCTAGGAGCAACAACGGCTCAGCCGCGAAGTGGTAGGCCACACAAGCTCACAGAATGGGACCGCCGAGTGCTGAAGCGCGTATTGCGTAAAAGTCGTCTGTCCTCGATTGCAACACTCACTACCGAGTTCCAAACTGCCTCTGGAAGCAAAGTCAGCACAAGAACTGTTCGTTGGGAGCTTCATAAAATGGGTTTCCATGGCCGAGCAGCCGCACACAAGCCTAAGATCACCATGCGCAATGCCAAGTGTCAGCTAGAGTGGTGTAAAGCTCACCGCCATTGGACTCTGGAGCAGTGGAAACGCGTTCTCTGGAGTGATGAATCACGCTAATCTGGGTTTGGCGGATGCCAGGAGAAAGCTACCTGCCCCAATGCATAGTGCCAACTCTACAGTTTGGTGGAGGTGGAATAATGGTCTGGGGCTGTTTTTCATGGTTCGGGCTAGGCCCCTTAGTTCCAGTGAAGGGAAATCTTAACGCTACAGCATACAATGACATTCTAGACGACTCTGTGCTTCCAACTTTGTGGCAACAGTTTGGGAAGGCCATTTCCTGTTTCAGCATTTCAATGCCCCCGTGCACAAAGCGGGGTCCATACAGAAATGGTTTGTCGAGATCAGTGTGGAAGAACTTGACTGTCCTGCACAGAGCCCTGACCTCAACTCCATCGAACACCTTTGGGATGAATTGGAACACCGACTGCGAGCCAGGCCTAATCGCCCAACATCAGTGCCCGACCTCACTAATGCTCTTGTGGCTGAATGGAAGCACATCCCCGAAACAATGTTCCAGCATATAGTGGAAAGCCTTCCCAGAAGAGTGGAGGCTGTTATAGCAGCAAAGGGGGGACCAACTCCATATTAATTTATATGATTTTGGAATGAGATGTTCGACAAGCAGGTGTCCACATACTTTTGGTCATGTAGTGTATAACATCCCTGATAATATAGCCAAAATGCATAGCTGGGTCATTCCTATAATGAGGTGCCTTTTCTGTCCCCAGGAAATATCACTTCTTATTTAGTGTAAAATAGCAAATGAGGCTTTAATTATAAGGTCAGGTGTCCTTAAACCACACAAATATGGATCTTGAAAGGGAATTCTATGCATTTTCAACACTTTTTTTCAGTGGATGTAGGTGTTTTTGCCATGTCCCCAGGTGTTTTTCATCAACTTCAACGAGAAATATAAGCCATAAAATAATACAATATTTAAAATTGTTTTATAGTCCTAGTTAAATTCTCTCTCATCAATAACGTTTTTTTCATGATTATTGTATTTATTATTATTTTATTTTAGATTTTCTGTGTGTCCCTGATATCACTTTCCACCCTGTTCGTTTGTTGTAATTCTCCTTTAAGAAAACAACACCTTCCTACAATGACACCACATTCAGGAAGTGTCATAATTTATTTGGTGGGAAAACAACGGTACAAAGCTACATAAACATATACACTCAGTTGTATCTATTTTTCAATGTTTCATGTTGTTAGTCTGTGTGTTGCACTCATACATTTCCACCCTGTTAGGCTAAATTATGAAGAAAATGAACCCAATTTCTAAATGTTAAAATATGTTTGATAGAGAAGTTAAAATCCTGTTCAAGTGTTCACCATTATTCTAGCTCAATCTGGCTCACACACAGAGCTATGGCTAATTTAGGCTCCAAATGTCCACCCTGTTAGGTTACACCCTGTTAGGATTATGCACTAACAGGTTGGAAAATGCACCTGATCTTGACCAATATGTTTTTCTGAAAAATCAAACGTGTCCTTTTTCTGATAGTATACAAAAACAAAACAAAACATTTTCTTTTTCAAAGGTTATGAGATCCAAAAGGCACCAGACAATTTGGAATGACCTAGCTAGGCCTAAATAGATGTATAAATGGGTGTCCATTGTTAGGCCTATGCTCTGATAGGAGTGAAATCTGTCTTAAAAACGACATCAAATGAGAACATTTCCTTCCTTTTCTCTCCGTTTTTGTTACTTCCTTTCTCTCACTTACTGGCTGTGTGAGTGCGAGCGCTGTGACAGATGGCGAGTCCCTCTACCCTCGGGAAGGCAATCCCTGTGAATGCGGGCGCATGTCAATCCCCCGTGCTCATGTGATGGCTCTTGCCAATGACGTGCCAGCCATATGGCCTGGCATCATAGCTTGTATGTAACCCACCCAGCCCTGGTAGAGGATACCACACTACTGTTTCCGCGTATTTGGGGTAGGGATAGCACAGCGAAGAAGCAGCAAGCAAGGCTACAGCCTCACCTATTGAAGTGCCCATGCAGGAGTGGTGTGGACTTGGACTGGCCACCCCGAGATGGTGTAAACAAACGCGCGTCACCGAGCTCGGATACGGCGGTAGGTAGACATTTTTTTGGAACGCCCTAAACGAATTATGGAACTAACACCAACGAGAGAATTTATACAAATGTTGAATGGAACATTTGTTATTTCATAATTTCTTTAGAGAAACTAGGCTACTGCGTATCTTGCGCAAGAATCAAATTATATTTTTCAACCCTCGTTGTTTCATCTCCTATCAAGTGTGACAGAACAAGTCAAAGACATCATTTAATCCTGCTCCACGCTCTTTATCCGAGCTAACATGTATTGCGAACACGGGAGGGGATTGATTCCATGCACAGCGCGGATGACTGCATTTAATAACATAGCCTTTAACAATCAATTCGACATACATTATAGGCCCACTAAAGATCTACATGCATTATTCTATTCATATCGGAGGCTTATCGAAGGAGATTTGTCGTTTGCTTTGAGAGGGGGTTGGGACTTTATCTTAAAAGTCCCTGAAATCTTATCTCCGTTTGAAATGGAGACATTTCGGGACAGACTTGATTTGGACAGAACCTAAAATCAAAATAAAAGGAAATCATGCAAAGCAGCACACGGGATATGGTAAATGTGTTTGTTTGTTGTGTGTGTGTGTGTGTGTGTGTGTGTGTGTGTGTGTGTGTGTGTGTGTGTGTGTGTGTGTGTGTGTCTGGGTGGCGAAAGAGAATTCTACTTTTCAATTCACATTAATCCTTGCCTTACCTTTCGTTGTGGCTGGCAACGCGACATTATTGGTCCGCAGCTCAAATTGACCATAAATATCACAGTAGCCACTAGCCAGTAAGGACAAACTATTCAACAATGACAGAAACTTTTCTTCTAAAACATATTACAATATTGAATAATGCAACAATTCACAAGCAATCAATTATAGGTTTTATTTTCTAGTCTGTAGGCTACACGCATTACATATTAGCTTCAAGACAAAATACAGAGTTGCTATAACAGCATGTCCTCATCAAGTAAAGGTAGCCTATAAAAAATGAGAGATGAACCCTCTCATAAAATATAAAAGTAGGCTACAGTAGACCTACCTTACAACATTACAACAAACCAGGCTTAATTTTTATCAATGTCATGCAAATCATTACATGTGGTAATTGCGACTGAAAACGTGGGTAGGCTATTACACCGAGATTAGCTGTTTTATATGGAAACTCATATTCGCCACCCAAAAAATAAAATGCCTCAACTAGGGTCCGGAGTTGGTTAGGTTAGCCTACTACCAGATCAGGAACAGCTAATATCACCGTAGCCACTAGCCAGTAAGGACAAACTATTCAACAATGACATATCCTATTGATCTATTTACATTTGACATGTTTTTGGTGGTGGGGTGGGCTTCCATAGTTTTACGTGGCTCAGTGCAGCCAGCAGCTTCTACGACAATTTTAGAATGTAACAGGATGTTAATGCAATTTTCAGGAAAAATGTAGTAGACTACGTGTGAAGTCCCTATAGAGTTATATGTAGGTTAATTGACAGGTATTGGTTTGTGTTAATTACATTGTACTAATATTATTAGAAAAATGTATCCACGCACTCACATGCACTGCTGGGCTCATTAGCCTACAAGAAGCATTAGGGTTTAATGAACATGATCACAATATTTGGAACGCTAAAAATAATTTACGAAGTATTTTCTAATAGCCTATCAATGTTGAATGATTTATCTAAAATATCTTGATAGATTAATTAATTAATTTGGCGTGATTTGTTGTGGAATTGGAGCCTGTTGTGCCAAAATGAATCGAATATATCAGTTCAAATCCATGGGTTAGCTGAAACGTATTGTTTCGAAATAGAATATATTTTAGTCTATCAATTCATTGAGGAGCATCGTGATTGTCCATTTATTTCGATCAATAGAACATCTGTATTCTTATAGGATGTAATTAACCTGGTAATGTGTATTAGGCCTAACTATCAGCAGAGTTGTCCCCAGCTATAGACTGAAGGCTTGACAGTTGTAGTGTGGTAGCCCGCTAATTTTGAAGGGGGGAAGGAAAGAAAATAAAACAAATACTATTTTACATTAAATCTGTAATGTCAAGTTGGCTTAACCATTTAGGCCCATCACCCATGCGTAGAATCGGTTCTTATTCGATGCAAATAACAATAAAGTAAATTATGATTATTATCTGAAATTAGTTTTCATTTATGGGTAGGGTATATTCTAAAATTAGTCCAGAATTTATTCTGCCTGTGTTAGAATGTGGCCAGAAATAGTGTATGTGTGGTAATGGGCTGAACGGGTCTACTCGCCCCACAATGTGCCCCATGGGACCTCATGATAGAGCCAGCACCGAAAAACCTGCTGTGAGATGGCACGCTTAGTTGGGTCGCGTCTGTCGCCCCTCTGCATTCAACTAGATTAGGCATATTATTTGTATCAATTTTTGTTGCATCTCGTCTGTCAATCAAAATCAATATTTCCAGAAACAATAATCTATATTCGGATAAGACAGCCTATCACCAAGACCATGCACTGTCTGAAACAGCTTTTCTAGGCCTCCAGTTTTCATCTGTCTTGTGACGTGTTTTCCAGTGCCACCATGTTGACAAGGCTATTCAGCGAGGTTCTGCCGGATGTCCAGAAGCTCTCGGGTTGGGTGGAGGTCAGCGAGGGCGAGGATTCCAAAACCAATGAGGAAGACCTGGGTCACCTGGAAGACGACGACTTGGATGATGGCGATGCCAGAGTGGGAAGCAGCCGGGATCAGTCCGAGATGGCTGGGGATGACGACGACGACGTTGACGTCGACGATGAGGAGTGTGGGGATGAGAACGAGGAGGGAGACACACTCAAAAAGCGCGGGCCAAAGAAACCCAAGATGACGCAAGCACGGATTGAGCGCTCCAAGGTGCGGCGTCAAAAAGCCAACGCGAGAGAGAGAACGCGTATGCACGATTTGAACTCTGCGCTGGACAATTTGCGCAAAGTGGTCCCCTGTTATTCCAAAACGCAAAAACTCTCCAAGATAGAGACGCTGAGACTGGCCAAGAATTACATTTGGGCGCTCGGGGAGATCTTGCGCAATGGGAAAAGGCCAGATGTACTATCCTACGTGCAGACACTGTGCAAGGGCCTGTCCCAGCCCACCACAAATCTAGTAGCTGGTTGTCTGCAGCTCAACTCTCGGAACTTCTTGACAGAGCAGTGTCCTGACGGGGCCCGGTTTCATGTCCCCAACTCCTCTTTCTCCGTGCACCCTTACTCGTACCAGTGTCCCCGTCTTTCTAGCCCTCAGTGCCAACCCGGCTCCAGTGGGCATATGAGGACCCATAACTACGGCTACGGCGACGCGGTCTACCCAGGGGCCATCTCCCCGGAGTACAATAGCCCAGACTATGACGGCCATCACAGCTCGCCTGTGTGCGTCAGCGGCAACTTTTCCGTGAGGCAACAGGAGTGTGGGTCGCCGGACACAGACAGGAACTATCACTATGCTATGCACTACTCCGGACTGTCTGCCTCGCGCGCACCTGCTGTCCACGGCCTAGCGTTCGGCCCATCGGGAGCGCGCAGCGGTTCCGCGCACTCTGAAAACGTGCCGCCGCCATTTCATGACGTGCACTTATTACACCATGACAGGACGCCCGTGTACGATGAACTGAACTTCCCTTTCCACAACTGAATCCCTCAAAACCCTAACAAACCCACCGGACCCCTAAATACCCAACTAACAATCGTAATGTTAGGCTATAATAGCCTACCCATTTTGACTCTGGATGAGGTTTTTAGAAAACGGGAGGTGGGGTGGCAGGAATTGAGAGAAAAAGCCCAATATTCTCAATGTTGGTCCTCTGTTTTATTGATGTCATTCCTGAATTGTCATAATGTACATTTTAAGGTATGTCAGAAATCAATATTTCCAATCTAATGTCGATGTGTATGCAGAATACGAGTGCAATCAAAATAAAAGATGTAGGCCTATAACGAAACATGTTATAAAAAATAAAACAATATTTTATAACTGTCTGACATGAGGTGATTGACCAAATAAGTTATTTCTGACTTGAGAAATTGGGTGAAAAATCTCACTGTATGCTGAAGGGCAAGAGCTCCACCATGGAATCACAAATACAGTATTTGAGTACATACATAGACTATTCCACGGGAGTAATTCATAACTGAGTTAATTAAACTATTATTTCAGTGACAACAACCACTTTCTGCAGCAGGTTCGTTTCCAAATCCAATATGGAAACGAATGACAATTTATCATTCAACTGACCAAACGTTTAATCCGCGTTTTAGGAATAGGCCTATAGCCTAGTCTACACTCTAAAAAAGAAAAGGTTCCTGGAGGATCCTTCAGCGTAATTTAAAGTAATGAACCTTTAGGTTCCTGTAGGATCCTTTAGGATAATATAAGGTTAAAAAAGGAACCTTAACTTTAATTTAAGAACCCATAGTCTGCCATCAGTTCGTTTTTTAAACTTTGTAGACTTAAGGGGTGCTTTGAAGAACCCTTTTCAAAAGAGGGGTTCATTTTGGAACCAGCAGTGCGCTACTGAGTAAATAGCGCTAGTGCGTATAATTCGAATTATAAAACGGGTTGTTTGGATCCTGGATGCTGATTGGTTGATAATAACTCCTGCAAAATACCATGACGTGTTATTGTCATAATTCCACTGTCTGCAGCCCAGGCAGCAAATTCATACACTTAATCTCCCTCGGGAAAAAGTCGTCTACACATAATTTTCCATTGCTACTATTTGGTTTGCAACAGTTGAGGGTTGTATAAACATACCTGTCTGCCTCTACAACCTGTGCAACAATGTATCATTTTTGAAATGCGATCTCTCCCGTGCCAGCAAAGAAGACGCAAGCACTGGCTGTCGCCAACCAGCGCCAGGACCATGGACATATCTTCCACTCGTGTGCCATCAACGGAAACGTCACTATTAACATCACCAACTACCTTGGTTAGCTCGGACTCGCCAACCATAATAGTTGATGCCTATGTATGCCTATTGGATATTTATTCAATCATTATTTATTGAAGTTCTTATCTCTCATCATCATTGAATCTCTGCTAGCTAGCTACCTGGCATTTTTTTGTTTAGCATAGCAACTTCGAATGAATAGAATGTTTTTTAGAATGACGACTGGGTCAAAACATGAGAATAGAACTCAATCAACTTCAGAATGCAAAAACGAATTTACTCGTTAAGATAATGTTTTTAATTGTAAAATGTAATCAATATTTGTATAAATATGTTGGCAACCGTTTTATAAAAGCAATAATGCCCTCGAACCCGGGAATTATCGTGTGACAACTCCCTCCAAGGATCGACGTGAAAGGTAATAATTTATCAAACTAGCTACTATGAATTTTTTTATAATACTAATAGTATATAATGTAATGTACTCTTCGTTTTTCATCAGCTAGCCAAGCTACATAGCCTGTAAAGTTTGCTGGTAATTGTTGTATATTTGTTGGTAGGCCTACGATTTAGCTAACGTTAGCTAGCTAGTTGAAGTTACTGTAACGTTAGCTAACTTAACGCTAGATAGATTCAATATTGAGAAATGTTAGTCCTCATTTAAACCCATGATACACTCTCACCATTTTCCTTCCGTCCTCCTCCAGTCCCTGTCTTATCCTGCCCCTATCCAGTTAAGTTGTAGAGAGTTTGGGTGCTGTGAGAAACTCAGCCTCCACAAACAGGTAAGACACACAGACACACACACACACACACACACACACACAGAGAGAGAGAGAGAGAGAGAGAGAGAGAGAGAGTGAGCGAGAGAGAGATGACCCAATCTAGGTTATGTTAAACTTGCCAAAAATGAAAACACATTTAGATGTTACATTTGATATCAATTACGCATGTTGAATGTGTCAAATGTATGTATTTCAGGCTGGTGTGTTGGGGCGACCTGCTTTGATAGAGAAAATCAACCTCTACAAACAGGTAAAACACACACACAGAAGACCCAATCAAGGTTATGTTAAACTTGCAACCCAGGATACTGGGTTGTAAACTTTACAAAAATATTTAAACACTCTTTAAACATCTCTTTCCATCTTCCTCTCTTTAGTCCCTGTCTTATCCTGCCCCTGTCCAGTTAAGTGGTGGAGAGTTTGGGTACTGTGAGCTGTGATAGAGAAACGTATCAACCTCCACAAACAGGTAAGGCACACACAAACTGCGAGAGAGAGAGAGAGAGAGAGAGAGTGTGTGTGTGTGTGTGAGAGAGAGAGAGAGAGGAGAGAGAGAGAGAGAGAGAGAGAGAGAGAGAGAGAGATGACCCAATGTAGGTTATGTTAAACTTGACAAAAATAATAATAAATAAAACAGATCAGATTAGTTAGATGCATTTGATATCGCATACTCATGTTTTTGATGTTGTGTTTGTGTCTAATTTATGTCTTTAAGGCTGGTATATTGTGGTGGCCTGTTCTGTCCTCTGTATTTCAGACGAAATCAAGACAATGTTTAAAGCTCACTATGGATATACAAACAGGTTAGCCTCTATAAAGTCTTTGGATGTATTTGCAGTGTGATTATAGTGTTCTGTGCTTTTCTTTGTCTTTTCCAATACTAACTGAATAGTGAATGAATTTACAGTGTGATTATTGTGTGTTCTGTTACCCTGTCTTTGTCCTCCATACTTTCCCTCTCCATACTGTCTTGTTATAATCACTGCAGCTGATTGCATAGCACATACTCAACTTTTAATTGATGATAATCAACACCATAAATCATTGTCATTTTTATTACAAAAATAATTGTTAGTCTAAATGTAATCTTGTATGTTTCTCTTATGCTTTAGGTATCCCACTACCTAAAGTGTGCACAGCACTCTTTCAAAAGTACTCACACACTAAAAAACTTCTATACACCATTGTGCCTACCCAGACCATGATGTGCTGGCTTGGATATTTTCTTCTCAAATTGTTTATTCAGTCACATTTACAGCAGCTTAACAAGACCATCACTAGTTATGCACAGTAATTGACTAAGTATGCTCCTCTGACCTCGGTCCCAACAATCTGTCATGAAATTTCTCATGTACCCTTTACAGTATGCAGCCGCTCTAATTCTATTTATTATAATCCAGCCTTTTTATTACACACCCTCCCATTTAAGGTATCAAGGTCACTGAAGCCATTTAGCTCCTCCTCTACTTCCTCAAAGAAGATCCAAGTGGGCTGTACATCACAGACAGGGTATGTATTTCCCAGCAGACAAATAAATACATGGAAAATTAGTAGTAATACTGTGTATGGAGGTAAATGACCAACAATGGGAAACTTTTTGCTGTAGAGAGGGATAGCGGAGCACAAAGTAACTTGAGGTCAGTTGTAACAGCCACATTACTGAAATTAGAAACCCTTTAGAAAGCTGTTATTCGATGTGCTAAAGCTTTGTTAGTGTCTCTACATGCCTATGAGTTTCATTTTTGACCTGTGACATATTCTCCATGTATCTAAACATTTCATTCTTATCAGTAAGCTGGGGTCTTTTGATTGGTATGGTTAATGACAATAATTATTATTGTATTTTTAGTATAGGCTCCTATCTTGTGGTCGATACACATCAAATATGAATGTCCGTCAAGGGTTGACATTGTACTTTATTTATTGATTGCATATTTGGATTTCTGTGACTTTCAAAGACAATAAAATTAATTTGTGACTGTAAGATTCTGTATTTATTTTCTTAGTCAACCTTGTGTTCTTGAACATAGCCCTGTTTCTTTGTGTTCTTGAACATAGCCCTGTTTATTTGTGTTCTTGAACTAGACCTGTTTCTTTGTGTTCTTGAACGTAGCCCTGTCTTTCATTTTTGTTCATTGATTTCACCTGTGTTAGTTACTCACCTGGTCTCATCAGCTCCTTATTTAGTTCAGTTCATTATGTTTGTGCCTTGTGAGGTATTGTTCGTTTTGACTCTACTTAGCCTTTTCCTAGCTCATTTGTGAGATCCAGTTATAGCCTCCAGTCCTAGTTTTGATTCTCCTGCCTGTTTGCCTACCGGTGTATGACCATTGTCTGCCTGTGACCACGATTCCTGCCTTCTGCGAAGGCGAAATAAACACCTGCCGCGCTCTGCGCGTGAATCTACACCTTTTTCTCCCTGAGTATTCATTACAGAATACCTCACCAAAAAAACGGAATGGATTCAGCGGAGCTACAGCGGCGCCTAACCCAGCAAGAGGAGTGTATGGAGGAAATCTGCCATCTTCTCTGCCAGCCTATCCCTACTCCTCCGATGCCAGGTATCGTATCCCATAGCCCTCGTTCATTCATATCCATGCCTGGAAAATATGACGGTTCACCTGGGAAAGGTCAGGGATTTCTAATGCAATGCAGCAAATACATTGAGCACAACCCCACTAACTTTGCCACTGACAAGAGCAGGGTGGATTTTGTTGTCTCTACTCACAGGCAAAGCCCTGGATTGGGCCACCGCCATATGGACTGCCAACAGCACAGAATCAGATCCAAGACCCATTTCCACACCCTCTTCAAAGAGGTATTCGATCAGTCTCCTTCCGGTCGTCCTATAGGAGACCTCCTCATAAAACTTAAACAAGGACACAATTCAGCTGCCGAGTATTCCCTCGAGTTCCGCACCATGGCTGCAGTGAGAGGATGGAGTGAGGCTGCTTTACTTA